TTTCATTTATATATATATATATATATATATATATATATCTTTTTTTGGCTTTCTACGTGTTCCACAAAGATTCAGAACTGTGCATTTAAGGAAATTGTGATTTAGATTAATAAGGGTAGCTTTTTTTCTTGGACTCCAAAGTCAAGTGTTTATTGAAGTCTAGTTGGAGAAGAGTTTACACTTGCTATGAATGACTCATTGTAATCTTTCCAAAAGAAAAATAGCATAATCAAAAAAACAGTCAAAATATGTGTTGCTATGCATCTGTATTAAAAGAATTTCCAGAAATGTGGAAAATACTTTATGTGGCGTAAAAAAAAGCATCCCAGTTCAACAGTGTTAATACATTTTCTATATATCATGTTTTTTTTAAATTAACATATATATTTAGTTCATGACCTACTGAATATCAATAAAACTCTATAGTTGCATTATTCAGGAAAGTATGAGTATGTGTGAATGGCCAAATGTGCAAGCACTAGCATCACCTAGTGATAGTTTTGATTCAAGACAAGAAGTTATTACTTTTTCTTTAAATAGAAAGAGTCTGCAGCTCCAGCAAGAAAAGCAGATTGCTATTTTGGTGGGTTACCGTTTTACTCAGACCGAATCCTTGAAGCTTGTGCTGCATTTTTAAATGATAAAATAAATACATAATGGCATTCGGATGTGTTTCCTTATTTCCCTTATTTATATGAGAGCCACCATCGATCACCTGATCACATGAGATCAATTTCTCTGGAGGTTGAGGTATAGTGGCAACAGCACTGGAGGATGCAAGACCAATGGAGGCTGAACATTTCCTCAACACTGTCATGTGTGGCAGCTGCTGCAAATGTTAATTGATGGACTGGAGTCTTGTGGATTATTGTGAGGTTTTATCCTATTCCTATTTGCCCAATTCAACCGCTTCTGTGTCTTTTGACACCGGTCATCAAAGCCAGCATCTTCCACGAGGACATTTTCTCTGACTGCAGTAACTACACTAACAGAGCAGCTTTTGGACGGGTTCAGCTTCAGGCAGCACTGGATTTGCTGATGCAGCGGAAACCTTGTTTCCAGACTCTCTACTACAGAGCATGTATTTCCATAGGCCTGATTAAACCTTTCCTGTGCTGTTTACATTTACATTTATTAAACAGGCACTTTTCTTGTATTCATACTGTGGCTTAAGACAAAAATGTTGTGTCATGTTTGGCTTATATTTTCATGGCTGTAATGTTGTGTATTATCAAAATCTTCACTTAGCCAACTTTAGTTACTTGATGGTTGTAGTGCATGTGGTGGTGGCTCATCTCTGCGAAATAATTCACATTGGAATGGATAAAAAAAAAGTATGCATGTGAAAATATTTCACCTATTTCAGCTTAAAAACGTAAATTCAGCTGATAATTTAAAATTTTAAGTATAATCAATTTGGTTGTATAAATCATTTCAACTTAAATTATACTAAACTGACTTAAACATTTTGAATCTCACATAACTTGTAAAAAAGGTAGGTGTGTTGAGGCAATTCGGAGCTAAACTCTGCAGGACACCGGCCCTCCAGGATCGAGTTTGGTGACCCCTGAGTTAAAGTAATGCAAAAACATAAGTTGCTTTGACTTAATGATCATATAATTTTTTACAGTGTATGCTTCATAATCAAACCAATAATTAGTTACTTTTTTTCGGATATTTAAAGGGGATAGTTCACCCAAAAATGAAAATTACTGCATGATTTGCTCAGTTACATTACAAAAGTGTCCTGGCTCTTCCAAGCTTTATAATGGCAGTGAATGGCTGTTGAGATTTTGAAGTCAAATAAAGTGCATCCATCCATCATAAAAAGTGCTCCACACGGCTCCGGGGGGTTAATAAAAGCCTTCTGAAAGGAAACGATGAGTTTGTGTAAGAAAAGTATCTATATGTAAAACTTTATAAACCGGAATCTCTAGCTTCCGCTAACTGTCGTACACGCATTCACGAGAGAGTGGCGTTCGAGCAGATGATGTAGGACGAAGGCGTAGCGTAAGCTCCGGTGAGAATATGCTAGTCTCGCGAGAACCGAGATTTTGTTTACAGGAGCAAAAGAAAACCAGCCTCCTCTTGGCTTATATTGAAATCCTCTGACATTTTTCTTTACAAATCCTCATTTTGTACTTTGTGACCGGTTTATAAAGTTTTAAATATGTATATTTTTCTTACACAAATGCATCGCATCGCATCAGGAGGCCTTCTTCTTAAAGGGGTCATATGATGTTGCTAAAAAGAACATTATGTTGTGTATTTGGTGTAATGAAATGTGTTTATGCGGTTTAAAGTAAAAAAAACACATTATTTTCCACATACTGTACATTATTGTTTCTCCTCTATGCCCCGCCTTTCTGAAACGCATCGATTTTTACAAAGCTCATCGTTCTGAAAAGCGAGGTGTGCTGTGATTGGCCAGCTATCCAGTGCGTTGTGATTGGCCGAATACCTCAAGCGTGTGACGGAAATGTTACGCCCCTCATCATACTGTGATGCTGTGTCCCGGCCGGAGCGATGAGACAGAAACATTAAAACCCATTACAAACGAGGCATTCGTTGCATCCAGTGGGGACATAATTACGGATTATAATGTCTTATTGACTTACACTGTCTTTTTACGCGTTGCGTTGCATTGCATCGCGCCGCGTAAACATAAAACTCTGTCTGCATTTGTGATCGGAGAAATGACAAACAACAAGCCCTACTCTACACTGCCCAAAACTCGCGTTTGAATCATCAGTGGCAAATTCTTTAAAACAAAGTAGTTTCGCTTTCACAACGAAAAACACAGCGTCTTCACAATATAGCGGCGGCGGCAACAACAATACTACAGCGAGAATAAAGTTATGCCTTCTTTCTTTGCGTGAACATTTGGGCGGCGTTATGCAAATCTTCCCACATAGTGACGTAGATATGTGGGGGCGTGTTAGAACGAGCTGTTTTAGGTAGGCGTGGTTGACTCTTAACTTTTATAAAGAATATCTCTTTGGATTTGAGACTTTAGTCTTTGCAACTTTACAGATCTTCTTTATGCACCAAGAGCTTGTAACACTCCAAAGAGAAAGGAAACATTGAAATCGCATCATATGACCCCTTTTAAATAAAACAAAATGTATGTACTAATACCCCATGCGTCTTTTCATCACTTGAATTGCTGGATTTTGGTCTTTAGCGCGAGTTATTTTCTGTACTGCTTTAATATGTGATTAATGCGGATTTAAGCTATTTAAAACACTTCAAGGGATTAAAGTTAGTAATTAGCGAGAAAAGTAAAGCAACAACGTCTATATGGAGAGGTTTTGGTATTTTCACAATCGCGGGGACTTTTATTTTGGAACGCAGCAAACGCGGGACTCTTAGTTTGAAGCGCGCGTGCGTCGCTGCGGCTTTCCGCGTCGAGCTGCTGCACCGGGAACATGTCTCGAGTGTACGTGGGGAAACTGAGCTATCGCGCCAGGGAGAAAGACGTCGAGAGGTTTTTTAAAGGCTACGGGAAGATACTGGAAGTGGACCTGAAGAACGGGTACGTGATGTTGGCTTTATTCGAGCAGCTTAAAGTGAAGCTGCAGCCGGAGCAGCGTTAGCGTCGCTAGGAAGGAGACACTGTTGTTTCTTCTGCTCCGCGTGACTCAAAAGAGACCTCCGTTATTAAATAAGTCACTTGAATGACATGCAATTACATGCATTGCGCTTAAAATATGTTTGGGAATATAACATCGGAATATAATCAGACTTTTTAAAGCTGTGTGTGTAACGTTAGCGGGTTAGCCTAGCAAGCTAAACTCCATTGTGTCCAGGCTGGCCTCGATCGAGTGCTTCATTTCGGCTTTTAGTGTCCCGTGCTCCAAAAATGTATTCTAGTTGATATTTAACTTATTATTTAGATACAATAGGGTCAAAAAGTCTGAAGCCTAGTGAAGATGTTTATATTTAGCGTATTTGTATAAACTGTATCTCCGTGGTGTCTCGTGGGTATTAATGCGCTCTGGTTGCATGGCCATCAGAGTTCATAAGCTTGTGTGATTTTATTTATTTAATTGTATTGCTAATAAAAGCGCGGAAATGAAAGGAAATCACAGATCACGGATGTGAATTATGTCTGTGCTAAAGAAAAAAATAGGTACAGACCTTTTGATGCCCCGCCCAAACCTTCTGTTGCATTTGATAACATGTTAATTACAATTACAAATAACATACAATTGAGCTTATTAAGCTATTTAATAGCGTCTTTAAAATGTAAATACATGTTGAGGGTAACAACAGTAAGCAAGGGATTGTTTGAAACGTATGTAGACAACTGGGCTTTGTTTGTTTGTAATATCCTCCTGACTTCCAGGAAAAAACAGTTTTGTGATTTTAGTATTTTGTCATAATCAGCACATTGTTTAGAGCATAAGAAAACATTTGAAAAATGACATTTTATTCATCTGTTATGCCATGTCCTCTGTAGAAGACATCGGGACTTTAAAGAAGTAAAGTTTTTTTTAAGAAATAAAAAGACACGAATAAACATGAAAAGACAAAAACAGTGGGATTTTTGTTTTAATCACAAATCAATTTTCATTTTTTTGATGCCAAACTTTATATAAAGACGATTCTCAACTATGTTATGAAAGATGGGGGGGGTTTAACCATTTTTTTGTATGCAAAATGTGTGTAAAATGGCCATAAACGAGTTTTTCCATTATATGCAATGTATCTATAAACTGTATCTAATTTGCATATTAATGTGTTTTTGGGGCAACATAGAATGAACAACTGAGTGCAACAATGGGAGTAATAATTAGCGAGATTTTCATAATGTCTAATATTTATACATCATTTTTTCTCTATTGTTGTGTCTCCCAGTAATAATTAGCGAGATTTTCATAATAATGTCTAATATTTATACATCATTTTTTCTCTATTGTTGTGTCTCCCAAAATGTGTAATAAACATGCTTTAAGTCCTGGTGTCCTCTACAGTGGAATCATAACAGAAGGTCATATTTTGATTTGAACCCCGTAACATTTCCCAGAGATGTTGATTTATGACAAACAATTTGAAAGTTAGTCAGATTTAAATGATGATTACAAAATATTATCATATTTCCATAAGGGTGTTACACTTGATCACTACGTTAATATCAGCCGTTTTTAAAGACCAAGGAGAGGGGGTGGTCTTGGAGAAACATCCCATCGTTTGGTATCTCTGAAAAGCCCTGAATGTGCTCTGTACAGAACCTCCGGATTTAAAACTGTGGCATGTAACGTCTCGGAGAAATCAGTAAAACATAATGTCCTCTACAGAGGACAAAACTCCATTAGTGGTAGTCAGGAGGATATAATAAACCCCATCTCTTCAGATATGGCTTTGTGGAGTTCGATGACCCCCGAGATGCAGATGACGCTGTGTGCGATCTGAACGGCAAAGACCTGTGTGGGAAGCGCGTGATCGTGGAGCACACCATAGGACAGCGGCGTGATGGTGGCACTGGCAGCAGATCTGGAAGAAGTAAGATACTCATTTACTCGCTCTTCCACAATACTACATACCACATGCTATTTCAGTTTCATAGGAACTTCTTTTTCATTGGTTGATGTTGGGATTGTGCGAACACTGCATTTTTCTCAGGCTTCTCAAATGGAGAGATTGGTGCTCAACATGCCCATTATAATTGTTAATCCTTATACCAGAAATAGATGTTTCCAGAATTAATGTTTCCAGCGACGTCACCGCAGGTCTTCAGGTGAAGGAGATCGGCTCTGGCATGGCTTCCACAGATCTGGCTGGTGGTTTATAAACAGTGAATCACTTGTGCTTAGGCATGGTAATGTTAGTGATTTGGGTTTTTTGATCATCTTCACATTGACATGATCTAAAAAACAGAATAGAACAGCATTTTTAAAGGGATAGTTCACCCAAAAATTTAAATTAGCCTTAAATGTACTCACCCTCAGGCCTTCTGAGATGTAGGTGACTTTTTTTCTTCAGTAGAACAGTAAATAAGATTTTAAGCTGAATCCGTGCTCCTTTTTTTCATTTAATGCAAGTCAGTGAGAATAAAAAAGCAGATCAAGGAACACAAGACGGATACCTGTGGCTCCTGACGATATATTGCGATCTTATGAAGTGAAACGATCGGTCTGTGCAAGAAACTGAACGTTATTAACTGTATTATCCATAGCAACAGGGAAATCTGATTCTTTTTCATGAACTAGTTCTTTCGGACAGTTCGTTTCAATAGACTGGCTCAATCCACTGGTTTGTTTACGTAATCACGCAATGATGTAACATACACAGTTATATCATTAAAGCACACAATGATGTGAAACGTAGATGTTTTACATGCCTTAAGCGTATAAAGTGTATAAACTTGTCTTCATCAGCCCACCTTTTTACATAAACGCTGAGAAACCATAACTTTGATTTTGCCCCATCATTGAAGTGCTCTGTTCGCACGCATGCGCATATCAGCGGCTCATTGGTCTTCGGTTCAGTTCACTGTGTTGTTTGAGGAACTGAAGCACTGAACGAGTTGGCAAGACCAGCATCATAGGATCATTTATGTTGACTTAGTTCGAGTCGGAGTGACTGTCAGGCGTCTGAAAGTGAGTTTTGATTGAGTATCTTATAGATATGCTCTGTTCGATCCGCGAGCTGTTTCAGATGCTTCAGTCCGATTCAGTGAACTGGTTCAACTAGTTCCCCAAAAACAACCAGTTCAAAAAAGTCATTCATTTGCAAACTAGACATCACTTCAGACGTTTGCCTGAATCTATGGATTACAGATAATAATGTGGTAAATAATGCTCCGTTTCTTGCACAGACGGATCGTTTCGCTTCATAAGACCTCAATATATGGTCAAGGAGCTACAGGTATTAATTTTGTGTTCCTTAATATGCTTTTTATTCTCAAATATGGGCAGCCATTGCATTTTATGACTCGCCAAGGACCACAGTTTCAGCTAAAAATCTTCTTTACTGTTCTACTAAAAAGTCACCCACATCTGGGATGGCCTGAGGGAGTAAATTAACAGCAAATTTTCAAATATTTTTGGGTGAACTATCCCTTTAAGAGTGTCCAGTCTCTGTATGAGAAGCCTGAAAATTGTGTTAAATTCCAAACCTTACCACATATGCAGTTGCTGTTTAACATTTTTGGGAGTGAAATTGTATGAGTGATAATCTTTAGGATATTACTGATGCGTGATTCTTCAGTTGGGGGAATCTTTTTGTCCATATAACGATAAAAAAAAAAAAAACGATATCTCAAGTAAGTTTTCTCAAGTGTCCCTAAATGAAGAATCACCTTGAAAAACGTGATAAGTAATTCTAAGTATCATCATTTCTGATTCACTATATGCAGATTAAAGCTGTTGCAATATAATGATTGATTTTAAGCTATTTTTTTTAAATGGAATAACTTATAATGTCAAAGCTAGAAATTTAACCCTCAATGTTTTATCAAAAGAGTCTGACTGCCTGCCCCTTTTGCTGGCCATGGTGTCCCCCTTCCCATGCGTGTGGCTCTTTGACCAAACTGGGCCCCTGGGCAGACCATTAAAGCGAGCCAATGTGAAAGAGGACCGCTTTTCCCATTAAGCCGGGTGGTGAGGATCTCAAGGGGTTTAGGAGATGTGGTTTGAGCTCTTTTAGGTGTTTTGGTTTTGTTTCTTTTGACATTTTACCTTTCCTCAGTAAATTAATCTCATTAGTACAGCGTAAGTATGTTATTTGGTGAAATATTTTCAGTTCTTGAAGAATGAATCCCTTAAAGGGATAGTTCACACAAAAATGAAAATTACCCCGTGATTTACTCGCCCTCAAGGCATGAGGCATATGACTTTCTTCTGTCAGACGAATACAATCAGAGTTCTATAAAAAAATGTCCTGGCTCTTCCAAACTTTATAATGGCATTGAATAGGTGTTGAGATTTTGAAGCCCAAAAAAAGTGCATCCGTCCATAAAAAGTGCTCCATATGGATCCGGGGGGGTTAATAAAGGCCTTCTGAGGCTAACCAATGCGTTTGTGGAAGAACATTTTTTATAAACCGTAATCTCTAGCTTCTGCTCACTGTCGTACGTGCGTTCACGAGAGAGTGGCATTCCAGCGGATGACGTAGGCATAGCGTAAGCTCCGGTGAGAAGTGACTAAAGCGGAATCACAGAGGAGAGAGCAAAACACTGGTCATTAATTAGAAGTACAAAACGAGGATTTTAAAGGAAAATGTTGGAGGATTTTGATATAAGCCAAGAGACTGGCTTTCCTTTGCTGTAAACAAAACATGGTTCTCGCGAGACTAGCATATTCTCACCGGAGCTTACGCTACGCCTTCGTCCTATATCTTCCGCTGGAACGCCACTCTCTCGTGAACGCGTGTACGACAGTTAGCGGAAGCTAGAGATTCCGGTTTATGAAGTTTTACATATAGATACTTTTCTTACACAAACGCGTCGGTTCCTTTCAGACGGCCCCCCGGAGCCGTATGGAGCACTTTTTATGATGGATGGATGCATTTTTTGGACTTCAAAATCTCAGCGCCCATTCACTACCATTGTAAAGCTTGGAAGAGCCAGGACATTTTTTTTAACATAACTCCAACTGTATTCGTCCGAAAGAAGAAACTCATATACACCTAGGATGGCTTGAGGTCGAGTAAATCATGGGGTAATTTTAATTTTTGGGTGAACTATCCCCGAGTAAATGATAACAGATTCATTTTTAGGTGAACTATCCGGATAGATGAATCTGTCATCATTTACTCTCACTCATGTGATTCTAAAACTTAAAATTCAGATTCAAATTTATTACACTCTAGTAAATATAAGCTCAGTTTCTTAAACCATGTATAAAACTTACTTTTTCTATAATTTATTATTTTATTTTTTTTGTAGATATTTCTTTCTCAATATGATTTTTTTTTAAAGTGTTACTGTGTGTGAAATCCACTTAGTCTAGTGTGGAGACTCCATTGTGTTTTACCTTTCCTGAGCTGTATGCATCTTATTCTCGTCACTCTGAAGGTAGTCAGTATAGGCGTGGAGGAGGAGGAGGGGGAGGGGGAGGAGGAGGAGCAGGAGGAGACCGGTACGGCCCACCCACTCGCACAGATTACAGGCTGATTGTGGAAAATCTCTCCAGTCGCTGCAGCTGGCAGGACCTGAAGGTATAGAAACATTATAGTACTACTAGTGTTATGTTTGCTAAGGGAAGTACCACTGTTCCTGTTGCATCTGGTGGCTGCCACTAGCCAAGTCACTCCTTTTCTTTCTCTATATTAACCCTTGTGCATCAATTACAAAAAGTGTTACAAGGGGATCCTTAGAGGATAAAAATATCTGTTAAAAAAATCAGTGATTAAAGTGTTATATATTAATATTTTTTTTCCACTTTCACTGACATTTTTTGGTTCAGTACCATCATTTCTGATCATAACTACTGTTAATAATGAATTATTTTAACCCTTTAAATACCAGTTTGTTTACATAATGCCACTGTTGTTTTTTCATATACTAAAGGCTATGAAGTTAATTTTTTTTTATTGGGAGGGATTATTACAGTCTTGGATAAGAAAAAAAAAACATAAATTGATGCACAAAAAAAATAAAGATGCAGTGTCAGAAGAAACTATAAACCACTACCATTCTCACACACACATTTCTCAGTACACACATACAAACCACACTCTGATATCCATACCAATACACCCACACAATTATTTTAATTGCATAGTTTTAATTAATCTGGGCTTTTTTCCAGCAGAAAACAGGGAAAAAAACAGATATTTGCTTAATAGGTGAGAAAATGGTGCCATCAGGTGGAAAATAATAAAAATGTTTAAAAAAATTGTATTAATTTTGAAGGCGTACCAACAAAATGAAAGCCCTTCAACAAATAATTCATGATTTTACGCCTAAATGGCATTGAGATTAAATATTGTTTTAATGGGTTTCGGTGGGTACATTTGTGTCCTTAAAGGAACACGCCACTATTTTTGAAAATAGGCTCATTTTCCAACTCCCCTAGAGTAAAACCAGTGGTTCTCAACCTTTTTTTCCACCGGGCCGCACTATGTTCCCAGTGCAAGTCTCGCGGGCCGCACGCATATCATTGACATATTACGTCAGCAATACAAACCAACCTGATTTATAATATAGCCTAAATATTATGATATCTTATCGATTACATTCATTGAAATAAATAATTCTACTCCCCATAAATAACACCCAATTTTGTGAACTTCGGCTCGAAAGGAGTAACAGCACAATCATAGGCGGAGTTTCACTTTTATACGTGGGGGAGGGTCACCCACTGGCAGACGAGCCACGAGCACTTTTTTATGTTAGATATGTTTCATGTATTTATGTAACATATTCTACATTTAAAAAATTAATTTAGAATGAACAATAACTGCTGTACAAAGAGTAAAAAAAAAAAAAAAAACATACCTAATGCAGAAAAGCCACCTCTTTTTCCGAATTGCGTAGATGACCACTATCTTTCTTTCATCTCTTCTGATACATTT